CGAGACTATTTTTTAAGATGGCTCCTCTCTGTGAACGCGAAGTGAACTGTCTTCATAAAGTATCTTCTTATTAAACGGTCTGTACACTTACAAAGTTCTCAATGCTTCCTTTTGCATGTATGGGGTCTCATTATGTTATTGCGTTAGTGTGGGGCTATTTTGAGCCTTGTTAGTGGTATAAACTAGCCATTTCTTTTTACTTAGCCAATGCCCCCATTACTAGCATTATACGCTAAACAGTTTTTAGAGATAAAACTCTTTACATTCGATTATCATGAAAACAAATCTTAGAGAACGATTGACTATGTACCGATGTTTTATTAGACCAAAGGTTCATTGTTCGCCGGAGTTCTCCTTTAAGTTGATTGGTTGATTACCTGAACATGCTCCTCCCAAACTTTGTTTACATAAAACTTCATTTCACGAGTTCACACATACATGAAATCAAATATAAAACTTAATGCGTATTTGGCTTGCTGTCCGGGGGAGGGCTCCGAGCTTGGAATTTTGCCCGAACCCAGAGTACTCCCCAAAAAAGCCAGGTAAGCGTGGGACAGCGAGTGTAGGAATAATTCCCCCCAAAAAAGTGAAGGGCATGAGAAGGTATTTACTAAAGAACGAGCTTGACCTTTTGACCGTGAGGGCTCTCGTGACGTCCGACGGGAACTTGGATGCTCACGGCATTGGACGGATAAGCCCTGCCATCAGTTGAACTGACAGCTCGATGACGCCAGATTTATACAAGTGTGATTTTGGAACGAGATAAGCTGTTCAACCGGGAGGGCATCCGACGGGAACTTGGATGCACACAGCGTAAGCCTCGCCAGTTGGATGGGGGCGCCCGCTGTACTTGGTCGGGAGGGCTCGGCCGGCGCTTCGAAGTGGGCTGGGGCATGGGAATAGACCCCTCGCAGCCCGACGAACGGAGAGCCCTTGCGGCGACATGAGCGCGGCTGTCCGACGATGATTAAGAGAGGCAGGCTCTCACCTTTTTGTGTGGCTGTGGTTGCTGCGCTGATGCAAAAAGAATGGCTTGAAAATTTGTTTGCTGAGATGCCAGATTTGATGAGGACTGCTTTGAGATGTTTTTGGAACCAGAATCTCGTGGCTGGATGATTGGAGTCGTCTGTGAAGAGTGGATCGAGAGGGGGTTTAAGCGTAGAACATTTATACTGAAGGTAATTTAGCAGTGAATGGAATGGTTGAATAGGAGTCGGCAGATTGAAAATATATACAAAATGACCTTTTTTAGCTCGATCTGTTTTGCTTTGTTTGATGAAAAAAGATATAGTTTCGTTATCCACGATATGTAAATCTGAAATGGTATGGTGAATATTTGAATTGAAATTGGATGTGATGGTCAATTCAGAGCAGTGGAGAATGCTGAAGAAAGCTAGAATGAACAGTGTGTGCGCCGTGTTGGTGGAGTGGTATCCTAGACGGATTGATGAAATACATTTGGCTAGTATGTCAATTGTAATGGGTTGTCTGGTATCCGGGCGAGTGGGATGAGTTCTTTGAATTCCTTTAATGAGAAAGGACGTTTGGAAGTTATTAATGGAGGTGGGGCGGGCCTACCATAAATTAATTTGTGAAAGAATTGAATGCCTCTTAAATAGCTTTTTATGGATTCGGCTTGGAGACCTTTAACTTGATTGAGGTGAGATATGAAAGAAGTAACGGTTAGAAGAGAGAAATCGGGAAACGGCAGGTTATGCGAGAGGTGAAATAATTTGAAAGATTTCCACGCTGTGTAGTATGATTGGAGAGTTCTGGGAGAAACTGCTTGTAGGATGGAATCGATGGACGTGTCCAGAAGGGATTTCAGCGGATGGTTTATGGGAAGATTAGTTGAGAATAAGGAGGTACTGGGGTTGGAATGGGGTCCGCTTCTGGTGCCAGCATCCTGAATCTCTGAAAATAGAAATGGGGGAGAGAGTCAGCGATTTGGTTGAAAGTACCTGGGACGTTTTGCATTAATTATGAACTGATCGCAGGCGGAGATCCAGATGAGGCGTCTGAGGAGTGGCATTAATGCAGGTGAGCGAGAACGACCTTTGTTAATGCATTGTACGGTTGCGTCGTTGTCGCAATGAACTTGAATGTTTTTAGATGACCATTCATTACCCCATAGGGAAGCTGAGATGACGATCAGGTAGAGCTCAAAAAGGGCAGAGGAGGCTGAGGACTGGGGAGTGTCTAGCAGCTAGGGGGGCCAGGGAGACGCGAACCAGCGACCTTGGTAATAACCTCCTAAACCGACTGAGGGAGCTGCATCTGTGAACAGTTTGATATCGAGGGGGAGAGAGATAAAGTTGCCGTAAAAAAAAAGTTAAACGGTTCCACTGGTAAAGAAAAGTGATCCATAATTTTAGCTAATTTTTGCACTCGCAAGATAGGATGATTTGGTCTTCCAGTGCATGAACGGATGACGAGAGGGCGAGGAGATGGTGATGAACGGGCGGCCTTGCGCGATGATGCGCATTGCATAGTTTAAGTGGCCAAGCAGCGAGAGGAGTTCACGTTTGGGCGGTCCGTAAGATTGGCGGGGATTAAAATTATTCGATCTGTTTTTTTCCTTTGGCAGTGAAGCCTGGAAATTAACTGAGTCCAGATTGATGCCCAGAAATTCTATGGATGTGGTTGGCTCCGTTGTTTTTTCCTGAGCTAACGGAATCCCTAGCTCGGCAAAGACTTTTTGCACCATGACGAGGTGAGCCGCGGGGCTGGCGTCGTGAGGTGAAATGATTAAGAAATAATCGAGCAGATGGAGAAGGTGAGGAATTGCATAGTTGTTGGAAAGGATTCAACATATGGCTTCTGATAGGGTGTCAAAAATTTTGGGGCTGCTTTTGCAACCGAATGTTAAGCGTACCGAAACATAAAATTTTCCCTGCCAGTTCAAGCCGAATAAATGCCACGAATCTGGGTGGATAGGCATTACAGTAATTTAAAAACAGAAGTGATATCTACTTTCACCATCCACGCGCCGCGACCCTCTATTTTGATCATGGTTATAGCTTGTTCGATGTCGTGATATTTACAGTAATTGAATACTCTTCAAGGGGGATGAGGCTGTTGATGCTTGGATATGGAGAGTTATGAGGAGCTGAGAGGTCAATCAATCGCTTTTTCCCTGAAAATTTTCTTGCAGCCACACCTATGGGGCTTATGCAGAATTTATCGAACGGGGGGCCTTGAACAGACTGATCATGATAGATAGATAGATGGATGGATGGATGGATGCATGGATGGATGGATGGATGGATGGATGGATGGATGGATGGATGGATGGATGGATAGATAGATATATAGATAGATAGATAGATAGATAGATAGATAGATAGATAGATAGATAGATAGATAGATAGATAGATAGATAGATAGATGGGGAAATCATTTTAATGTGTCATTTCTTTCTCTTTCCTCTCTCACTCTACATGTCCTTTGCCACGCAGAGAGTGAGTTTGGACTGTATTCTGTAAATTTCCCCTCATTCAGGAAGCCCTCTCTCAGGCAGTCCTGTGTGAAGATCTTGGGTTTTTCTCTAACCATGTGTTTAGCTTGGAGGACTGCACTTTTCCACACATAGCCTGAAGAACAGGAATGATGGGATTGCTGGAGGATGAATTCTCCACTAACCATAAAAACCAGCAGATCCTGGTTCCAGCCAATAGGACTAAACAGGATATGAATTGTGTCTAAATTTATTTAAATGTATCAAATGAATAAGCAAAATGTATAAGCAAGTAAAGATTTGCCACACATTGTGTTAAAAATGCACATATTAATTCTGAAATTGCATTACATTAAGAGCATTATTGTTAGATCAACATGAGATTATGATACATTATTGGGTTGAGATCTGGTGACTGTGGGGGCCATTTTAGTACAGTGAACTCATTGTCATGTTCAAGAAATGAGTTTGAAATGATTCAAGCTTTGTGACATGGTGCATTATCCTGTTGGAAGCAGCCATCAGAGGATGGGTACATGGTGGCCATAAAGGGATGGACATGGTCAGAAACAATGCTCAGGTAGGCCGAGGCATTTAAACGATGCCCAATTGGCACTAAGGGGCCTAAAAGTGTGCCAACATCCCCCACACCATTACACCACCACCACCAGCCTGCACAGTGGTAACAAGGCATGATTGATCCATGTTCTCATTCTGTTTACGCCAAATTCTGACATCTGAATGTTTCAACAGAAATCAAGACTCATCAGACCAGGCAACATTTTTCCAGTCTTCAACTGTCCAATTTTGGTGAGCCCTTTGCAAATTGTAGCCTCTTTTTTTCTTATTTGTAGTGGAGATGAGTGGTACCCAATGGGGTCTTCTGCTGTCGTAGCCCATCCGCCTCAACGTTGTGCGTGTTGTTGCTTCACAAATGCTTTGCTGCATACCTCGGTTGTAACGAGTGGTTATTTCAGTCAAAGTTGCTCTTCTATTAGCTTGAATCAGTTGGCCCATTCTCCTCTGACCTCTAGCATCAACAAGGCATTTTCGCCCACAGGACTGCCTCATACTGGATGTTTTTCCCTTTTCACACCATTCTTTGTAAACCCTAGATATGATTGTGCGTTTTTTTTACAGTTTCTGTATAGGTAAACTCATTACGAAATCAGTATGGAAAAACTTTCACCGGCACACAAAACATTGAAATTTATTTATTGAAAATTAATTTTCAATAATTCACCAAACAATAGTAAAATTTTACCGCACTTTTACAATCAAAACATAGAGGTAAGTCTTAAAATGTATATTGACATCATAACGTGTATTTGTAACATAAAATTGTCCAAATTTATAATTGCTTAATAATAATTTAAGTGTATATTAGAACAGTGAAACAAACTCCTCCTGTGATTAATAAAGGCGATATGACTTGTAAATGGAGACAATGATTTATACAGGAAAATGTGTAAAGTTATGCACCTCGAAACAGTTATCACATGCCTCCAAAAAGGCAGACATTCTAACTTTATGTGGGTCACTCAGGATACTGTGGTTGTCTCCACACTATAATATTGTGCCTTTTTCTGGTAGTGGAAAATGAAGTCATGCTTCTCATTGAGTTTTATCACAACAAATCTGCCATAGCAACAAAAGGTCTGTGCCATTTTTTAGTTATCGAAGCCTTAGCCACGGGAAATGTTCAGTAAAAACCTTGCATATGTCTGGAAAGAGAACAAGATCCTCCTCAAATGAAAATAGTTTAATGTAAAGACTATGTAGCATTGGTTTATGCGATTATGCAGAGGCATTCATTTCTTAAATGGGTTTAATTAAACACTGTGCAGAAAAGATTCCATTTAACAACTCTCAGAGGAAACTGCATGTCATGTGCAAAAGAGGTTTTTAGGTCACTACTGAACTTCAATCCCACTAAATATCATCAAGTGTTTCTACCCTATTGCAGCTAACTTGTCAGGTCAGTGTCTCCTGAAATCCGGCTTCCTGTCAATCGTGGGCCTGATTGGTATCGATTTACTGTAATATATAGCAGAACACATGACCCAATCTTCAGTCATTATATGATCACTAACCAGTAACCCCCAAAACATGTGCATATAGTTTTTAAACACATTATGCTGACAGCTTTGCAAATTCACTGTTACATGTTTTTCTGTGAATAGCCTACAAATGAAGACAGGAAATTCCCTCTCCAGTTCTCTATATCTCTATTTCCCGTTCAAAATGAGAAGAAGCTTTGGGAGAAACTGTTTTGAAATGTACACTGTCCCTTGGGGCTCAAAGGTAAGCTCCACATTTATAGGGCACTGTCCTATTAAGGGAATGAAAGAGAGAGTTAAGTAGTAGATGTGAGGAAAGGAAACACAGCCTTGAGATATAAACACATAGCATCAGTTTAATGGTCCGTTGGATCATCTTTAACAAACCAGGGAAAAGATATGGTCATATCACAAATCATTTTGGAAAATATTTACAATTCATTTTGGGATTTTCCATAAGTGAGATAAATAATAACCTTATTACTAATTGGTACAATTATTTGGGGGACAATAATCAAATTCGTATCCATTCCCTAAAATAAGTCCCAAATTCCCAATGCAACACTCGCGTCCATTTATCACGTCCAGATAATCCAAATCAGCTAAATTTATTAAGGTTAGATGAAAGCAAATCTTTACAGATGAAGGTTGTGATGATTCATAACTGCTGTGTTGAGATGCTGGGTCTTAAATTCAGAATGAATTATTAGTCTTAATACTCAATTCTTAAAGTGCAAGATTACATTTCATAATTTATCATGCAACAACTCCAGCAAATACTTTTAATCCAAAGCAAGGCCAAAAGAACTGTGTCAGTGAAGCTGCATCTCCTGAATCACAGTGAACTCTTGTTACCTATTGTGTAACGAGTGGAACATGTTTATAAAAAAAACCTTCTGTGAGTATTTAAATAGTTGTGACTGCTATGATGATAAACACTTGATCCCGTTTCTCCAACGTCAGGAAAACTTCACTTTCCCACAGTTTCTTTTAGTGAGAATGATATGCCAAAACCAAATACAAACTTCAATAAATAAAATACAAACTAGTTAGCTTAGCTTTACATTTTATGTTGTTTGTCTGTTAAGAAAATGCTAAACATATCCATGTATGGTGTAACACCAGTCAGTTTAAATCTTTTATCATCTCATAAGCAAGTACTGGAAATCCTTTGCAGAACACAAACTTGAAGGTCATGATGAAAATCGCAGTCAAGAGTAATTCAGTTCTGTTCCAGATTACCATCTCAACACAGCAGAACCAGACCAAAAACCACATGTCTCCCTCTACTGGTATTCACTGTAACATCAGTCCAGTGTTGCCAACTTAGCGCCTTTGTCACTATTTTTAGCGACTTTTCAGACCCCTTTAGTGACATTTTTTTCAAAAAAGCGAATAGCAACAATTTTAGCAGCTTTTTGAACTTCAGTAACCTCCAAATATTGCCAGTAGGCAACTGTCCTGTGAGCGTGAGCTCTTGCTTTGTCTGTCAGTCTCTCAAGCTGCGTCTCCCCTGTTCAGTGAATGGCTGAGAGGAGTGCATGGCTGCTGACAGAGGTGAATAAGCAGTGTTTTTCCATGGACTTATCGGCTTTTCTTTTTTTATATTTAAAGAATTTAGTTTGACCATTTTCATTGTATTTCTTTTCTTGTGCTTGTTATTACTCTTAACCGTAACATGCACTATCACAGAGCTTAGTTAATTCGGTTCTGTAACTCTCTTAATTCAGATAATGTTCCACATAGACCTATAAAAATTTAATCATTCACTATATATTATTGCTACTCGTTCTATTGTCTGACATTTGGCTATATTATATAAATAGAGCATTAATTTAGAGAGAAAACGCACTAGGCTGACAGGACGCAAGTACTATGCGATGACGTCATTAATATGCTAATTATCGTATGACATCATCTAGCGACATTTAGGGAAGGCCATAGCTACTTTCTTTAGAAATCCTTCCTAAAAGTTGGCAACAGTGCCTGTGTGTCTTCTAGTAGCTGTGCCGAGTGAAATCTGAATAATTCCCTTTCGAATCTCACAGAGAAGGATACGGCTGGGTACCGAGTTCGGTACTTTTTAGGTACCGAACGAATTGCCTCGATACTACCGAGCATCGAAACTTTTTTCGGTAACAAATTTTGGTAGCTAAGTGGTTAATCTCGTCAACGTCAGTGAAACAATAAGCATGCAGCATGATTGGCTGTGGTGGAAAACACTAGTTTACGCGGCTGCCCAGAGACGTAGGGACCTGGCGGTCAGGGACCTGGATATTGGATTGGCCAAAAAAGGTTGAGAACCACTGCATTAAAGGGATACTTCAGGATTAAACTTTGTATCAGTAGAAAACCAGAAGTATTTTCGAATTACTGTGCTCCCTACCTGAGCACAGTATCTGCGATGCCATTTTCTTCTGTACGAGATCACTGAATCCGCAGAGCTTTGAGTGTAAAAGTGTTAATATTATTATTTTTTTTAAATTAAAAGTTATAACTCACATTGGTTGTATAAACCTTTAGTGTTACTAGAGTATGGATTAGCCTAGATGATGTATTAGCTTAGAGAAATAGTGATTTCAATTGGAGGAAAACATTCATATGCAGAGCTACTAAGCTACTCTGTTGACATGGTCCTGCCTTGCATCATATTTTTAATGTGAAAGTCTAAGTTGTGTTATATACATTAGGGTAGTACATCCCGGTACAATGCAATTTAGCACCATTTAGATTTTTTAGCATCATTTAGAAATGTATCAAATAACTGACGACGTATCAAAGCAAGCCTATTGTATCCATTTTTCGGATCCTGCCGCCTGTAACCGGTAGGCGTGGTTTGGGAGTGGCCTCGTAAGGGCAGCAAAGCAAGTGCATTCTGGAAGTTGTTGTCTTTCAGCCATATGAGAAAAAAAAATAAATTTTTTGCTTTTTCTCAGTCTAGAATGCTTCAATTTCAAAAATAATTTCACATTTCTACTATATAAATAACCAATATAAAATACACATTCATCTTCCCAGAGGTGTAGTACTGTCTCCCTTTAAGTTAGTTCAAAGTTTGCCATGTTGTTAAAAATTACTCTCATCTAACGTTACCATTTCAGGCGCATGCAAAGAGCACTCACAAATAAAAGTGCCACCACACAACCTGGGACATTTTGCATTCTTTTTTCGTGTGGTCGAATTGAGTCATTTACTTCGACAGGACTTCTTGAAATATGTAAATAAAGAGATGCATACCTGCGTCTGTTCAGCGTCTCTCTCTCCGGCTATGACTTGAATGAATTACTTCAAAAAGTGTGATGTATCCCCCTCCTTCCTGAGAAAAGATATAGTTTTATACTGTATATGTTGATTCTCGTTTCTGTTATCAGTAATGATGTAACATTATATCACTTAATGAAATATACAGTAAGTTGTAAAATATACTGGCATCAATATACCATCCTGTAATAACTGAAACAATCTCACCATATTTTTTATGTGTGAATTTTTGGCAACCATCACAGCTGTTTAGCTGAGTACAAAAAACATTTCTTTTTTAAAGTCACCATGAAATCAAAACTGACAAATCTTGTTGTTGTTGGTTTTTTTATGTAATAATGCAGTATTTATTAGAAATGGTTGCATTAGCACATGCAAACTCCACACAAAAAGACCTCCTGGCTCAGCTGGGACTTCTTGCTGAGAGGCAACAGTGTTACCCACTGAGCCTCCGTGCCTGCCTTTATGATTATATACAAATATATAAATAATTAAACACTGGAGAAGGTCCCCGCGTCCTGAGACACTGCTAAAGTGGTGCCGAAACCCTGGAGGAAGGAGGAGCGCCCCGCCAAAGAGCCCTCACCGCTGTGGGATTTCCGCAATGCCATTGAACTGAGCAGAATCTCTCGTGTCTCTGGACTGGAGGAACTCGCTGCGTTCGCCTAGGTTGTGGAGGGTCGGCTGCCGTCTAAGAGAGCGAGTGGAGGAGTCGTCAGTTTTTCTTTACCAACTCTCTGTGTTTCTTCTGTTTCTTGTTCTGCCTTTCATAACGGTCAACGCCTGGAACCAGTCATGGAGGAGGATCTTTTCCAAATCAATCCGCTTGGCAGCATCCCTTTCCATGCATGAAGAGATCAGATCTCTGCATTCTGTGAAGAGGGGAGAGATATCCGGTTATTATTGTAAGTGTTATACTTTGTGTAAATGATCATATTATTTTAAGCAGTAATAATATGCTCTTACCTTTGGAAATGTCTTCCATGTACCAGGGCTCAGCAAACATCTGAGGGAGGTTATTCTCACGGTACTTCCCACATCAACAGTACACCTAAAGAATACACTGTTGCAGGCTTGCCATGATATCTGTGATGGCTGAAAAACTCAGGAGAATAAGCTTTTATGCCTGGAAGAAAGAAGAAGATTTCGTCCAAATTTCCATAACTTTTTGTCTATTTTTTCACCATAGATTTGTGAAATAATACGTACCACTTAATTTCACATAAGGAGATTTCTTCAAGCGTTTGCTTACACTGAAGTCTATTAATTTGACCTGAAAGGTGTTTGGGTTGATGAGCAGGTTTTCCAGCTTGATGTCTGTGGAAAACGCCCCTTTCACTGCATATATTGCAGCAGTGACAACCTGACGCATCACAACTCGTGCCGTATATTCATTGAGTCTGCCATGATGATTTTGCAGTACAAACAGCCACAGATCTTCACATGGCCTGGGCCGCTCCAAGATCAGTACGTATTCCTTTGGTGTCTCATACCAGTCCAGCAGCTTTATTATTTGAGGAACGCTGGGTCCTTTATTCATAAGAATCATCATAGCGACCTCTTTTGGAATGGATGTGCCAAATCGATTCTATATAGGAGATAGATAATAGTTTTTCGAAAGTGAGATAATTAGGGGGCATAGTCTAATTTAAATGAGTTACTATAACATAATTATGTCCTGCATTTGGTTAAGTAGATCTGAAGCCTTGAAATTGAAATACTGGTAATAGTTAACGTTACTGAAGTTTTTTACTGTAGATCGGTTAAATTTGGCAGGGCAAAATTTGGCAGTTTTTTTTCACCCACACACAATTTTCACCATGCTAAGCAACAGAGAGTTGCTAGGTTCGAAAGTTAATGCGCTATTGACAATCCTTTTAAAATGCAAAATTTTGTTAAAATGTCCTATTGCTAATGTGACTGTATACTCTGAAAGTATGAAAACGAAGAGAGGAACTGGCTACTTACAATTCAGACTTATTTCATGGTTTTTCAGTTTTCAGTTTAAAATTTTAACCATTACCTACAGAGCTCTCCACCATCAAGCTCCTTCGTACATCCAGGACCTTTTTCACATTCACTCTCCCGGTCGCTCCTTGAGGTCTTCAGGCCAAGACCTTTTTACTGTTCCTAGAACTCGTTTTAAAACAAGAGGCGATCGTGCGTTTTGTGTGGTGGCTCCAAGGCTATGGAATTCTCTTCCATTAGTCTTGAGAGCTTTGGACACTGTAGAAAATTTTAGTAAACACCTTAAAACACATCTTTTTAGACAAGCTTTTAACTAGCTATATGGTGGTGTTGTAATGTGTGTTGTGGTTTTTATTTCTTTTATTATTTGTTTTTTTTAATGTAAAGCACTTTGTGACCCTTCATGTCTGTGAAAAGTGCTATATAAATAAAGTTTACTTACTTACTTACTACTTACTTACTTTTCTCTTCACCACAAATTTGAGAGCCACCTGTTTTCCAAGAGAAGGAAAAAAAATCTAAGAATGTGTTACAATTAATTAACTATATGTGCTAAGGTCACATGATTCCAATAATGAACTTTGAAGTGAAGTGAATTTTAATGAATTGAAATTCAATTCCAATTAATTGAAATTCAAATGACAAACCTTTCGTAAATCAAACGGATCCCCTCGTAAACATTTCCATACGATCCTTGACCCAGCCTTTTCATAATTTCATAGTGCTGCAATACATCCCCTGTTAAAAAAGAGGGACATAGTAAATTTACAGTATAAAGGACAAAAACAAAATGCAGATCCATACATCCAAAACATCCTTAGTTTACATAAGAATGAAAATGTCTAGAAAAATATGTTAAAATTGAGGTAAGCTACTTTTTGCACATTTTATGAGTCATGGCGGGGATTGTTAAACTGACCTTTGTTTTCCTTCAAACTTAAATAGATGATTTCATCCTCATTCTTCCAAGAAACGTCATTCGATGTCGAAGCTGAGCGGTTCTCCTCGGTCGTAGATGGCACAGTCAAGGACCGCTGTTGTGAGTGCTGATGCCCCTTTGCTCTGGACTGGGAATGTCTTTTTCAGCGTCCTGCACAGTGGTGAGAGAAGACACAAAGGTGTGCCAGTTGTACACAGAATTATCGTCAATGTCGTTGTTCTGTTCAACTTTACCATCGAGCATCTCTCAGGATGTTGGCTGCTGTCATTTCTGCACTGACTCTGTTGGTCTTCAATGGAAGTTTTCTTGGATTTGCTAGAAAAAGCCCATCTAAAGAACCTCCCTTTCTTCTTTTCTACTCTCTCTGGAACAGGCCTTGGTGACACAGATGCAGCAGCATCTTCCTCTACAATGTAATTGTGAGATATGCACTGCCCATTGCTCCAGATGTCTCTCTTATGTTCCGTCACAAACTTAGAACAAGTGGACTCGCGAACACAAATCGAATGAAATACTAAAAATCAAGCGATAAAACACAGATCGAGAGATATATTACAATTTTAGCAATTTTTCACCACAGATGAAGTACAGAAATACTAGTCAGATCGCATGTACTACCAGAAACCAACTGAACTGAACAACTCTCCACAACCTACTCGGACTGTTACGTCACAAGCAGTGACGCGTGTTGGCCGGCTGCCATTTGCAATGTTGCCAGGGTAGTGGTTTACCTGCACAATTGGGCTATTTTAAAAAAAGAGTCGCGGGAAAAATTACGGAGTTGCGGGTTGTATTTTTTTTTGGGCTATATGCGGCCACAAAAATAATAATAATTAAATTGTAGACAAAGAAAAAATTAAAAGGTAACCGTTTTTTAGTGGGTGTTGTTGATCCCCGGAAATTAATATTTGGCAACAACCACTGTGGCGGGCGAATGGACGCAACAAATGTGTTTTGACATAACATTACAAATCTAGCATCATCACGTCACATTCGAAGTGTTCCAAATGATGATAGAAAAACGTTCTGCAAATATTGCAAATGTGAAATTCACACAGTGAAGTTCACCACAGTGATCTAGTAGCTTACGCTGCGACTGAAGAACATAAAAAAAACATTATTTGATACAGGCAAAGTTCCTTTCTAATAACTAATGTTGCTGTGAAAGAGGCAGCTGGCTGCCCACGTTGCTTGTCACTCAAGCACTTCAACTGTTGATCATTTAGGAAGTGACTAGGGTCAGAAAATATCAGAGAGGACAAGATCTTGACCTTTATTGTATGAGATTGTGTAAAAAAAAATAAATAAATAAAAAATAGTGTGTGATGTTAAGATTTTGGGCAAAAGGCCAAAAGGGCAAAACTTAAACACACACACACACACACACACACACATATATATATTTAACCAGGTTAATCGGTTGAGAACAAGTTCTCATTTGCAACTGTTTATAATAGCCTACAGGTGAAACTCGAAAAATTTGAATCCGTTTACAAACTTTAAAAACCCATAGACTTTAGGGCCATAGACAGTAAAAGAAATGGACACAGCGACCCCATAGATTTCACCGGAGAACATTGACATTGACTCAATATCCTACAAACAATTTACATTTTTACTTAATTTCACATAGCCTACTTAAATGTAAGTAGGCTACAGTAAAACCCAACGTTTGTTTTTGTTCTTGAAAAAGAAATTAAAGTACAGTATCTATTCACATGGGCTAGTAATAAAGCAATTAAAACTGTTAATATACGTGAGTCCTTTAACACATTTAATATAATTTTATTGTTTATATATGTATATGTATGCATTATGCAATGGAAAAAAAAAAAGAGAAATAACTTACAATTCTGTAATTTACAGAAATTACAAGAGTATATCCTTCCAGCACATGTTTTTTTACTGGATGAGTCTGTGAAATGTCCCGGATGAGGTTGAGTCACCCGCGTTGACGTCACTCGGGCTCTGAAAATGGCTGAGTCGGAAGAGGAGGTGGATGTCTTGGTCCAGAGAGTTGTGAAAGATATCAATAACGCCTTTAAAAGAAACCCGAACATGTACGTATGTGATCTCTCATCGTTGTTTATGTTTACGGTCGTCTAGTTTAATCCTTCCAGTGGGTCAGACCCTCGCGCTCAGCCGCAGGGTGAACAACATAGTGCAGCAGCCCGAGTAACTTGCGCAGGCAGTGGCTGGCTAACTGGCTACTGACCAGCTCTAACCCGCTGGCGCCCGGCGCAGGCCAGCTGCAGGTAGAGCTCACCGACCCTCGCTTTTAGACCAGCTCGTGTGATATGTTGTTTGTTTTATCTGTTTAACTGCTCCGTGCAAACGCTGAAAGTTTTTATCAATGACACGCGAAGTAAAAGTGTGCATGCTGTTGATGCTTCTGTCAGTTAACTTAGTCGCTTGTCAGTTACGGAGGGCGTGACGAGCTTCAAAATATTTCATGTTACATTTGTTCTAATCGTTCTCAATAATTGTCCATGTCTGTGTTTGTTTTTTTGTTTTTGTTTTTTTTAATCTGGTATTTGGAGCGACAGATTCAATGGTGTCATTGTGGCTCTCGTCTTATGTATCCAAACACATCACTTTTGTCCACTATGTTTAATGTTGCCTTAAGTGCATGATTTGTTATTTTCCTTTGTGTTTGTACTGTGTTATATTTGAAGGTCAGTGCCCTGTCCCAGTGGTTTCATCTCACTCTTCTCTTATGACAAGCTTGTATCTCTGCCAGAGAGATACATCTATAATGACTCGGTGTCAGCTGAGATGTTTTATGCATTGCCATTTGCCTTCAGCTCCTTAGTATTCAACAGAGTTTCTTAAAATAACCTTGTGACTTGTTCTGCCTTTTTATCTTTTAAAATGTGTTCACAGTGATGAAATTGGCCTCATTCCGTGCCCTGAAGCCCGATACAACAGAAGCCCTATCGTCCTGGTGGAGAATAAGCTGGGAGTGGAGAGCTGGTGTGTCAAGTTTCTGCTGCCCTACGTGCATAATAAACTCCTGCTCTACAGGCAGAGAAAGCAGTGGCTCGACCGGGAAGGTAGGACAAAGGTTTATTGGGTTAGATTGTTCAGCCGGCTCACATTGCCGTGACCTTATGCTGCCTTCTCGTGCAATCGGAAATTTCCTATTTTTCTAAGTTGTTGGAAACAACAGCTCATCATTGTGTTCAAATTTTGTTCATGTCCAATTTTTTAACTTGCAAACTAGTATTTACTATAATTCCGATAGCTCGTGAAGGCAGCATAAGTCTGTATTAAAAGATGGCTGTTCTTACAACAGTTCAGACTGAAAAAAAAATGATTTCTCTCTCCTTTTCTTCAAGCACTGGTAGATATAACCTGCACATTGCTTCTATTAAACCCAGATTTTACCACTGCGTGGAATGTCAGGTACATTTTCATTATATTTCATGATTGTTACCTGAAAACCTATTTTCTTAATGATCACAATGTACATCTGGTATTTATTCATTTATTTATTTTAGAAATTTTCTCTCTCTCTCTCTCTCTCGCTCTCTCTCTCGCTCTTGCTCTCTCTCACTCTTTCTTCCTTTGATGTAAGGATTCAGTGTCATTTTATTGCGCAGAATGTGTCATTGTTGCTATCTTTAGAAAGTTGTGTCTAATTTGGGACATTAAAATACATCAAAAGGCTGCTGCTACATTGAACTCCAAATGTGACTTTTTTTTTAATAATTTCAGAGAAGGGGAGCAATTATTTCCACAAATTCACTGCTTTTGCTAACATTTAGTTTTGTACAGGAAACACTTTATGGATATTTAATTTATGCCTGGTTTAAGAAAGCAGCTTTAGTATTCTTTACTTGGATTTTTTGACATACAAATCTTGGCTGAATGTCTTTAAGCTAATGTTGCATGGAAGAAACATATTGTCCAGGAGGTGGTGCTGTACTGTTTATTTTGGTGTTTTGATTTTGCATATCTTTGTGAATTCATCTGGGTATTGATGAATTGTATCTTTTATAGGAAAGAGCTCCTGCAGTGTGGCGTGTTAAACCCAGAAAAGGACCTTTACCTGGGAAAACTTGCACTATCTAAGCATCCTAAAAGTCCAGAGACATGGATACACAGGTTAGAGGATTTTAAAAAATGTAGGCATGAATTTAATATAATGTTAGTTCACCCAAAAATGAAAATTCTGTCAGTATTTACTCACCCTCATGCTGTTCCAAACCTCTATGTGTTTATTTGTTCTGCTGAACACAAAGGAAGATATTTGGAAGAATGTTTTAATCAAACAGATAGGGCTGGGTATCGATTCACATTTCAATTTCGATTCGATTTCGATTCACAAGCTCTCAGTTCGATTCGATTTCGATTCTCGATTCAATTTTCGATTTCGATTCTCGATTCCTGATTTGATTCTCGATTCGACTATTATGAAGATGTAATACAAATCCTATATTTATAAAAAAGAACAGTGGACATAAGTTTACTAGTGGTTAATTAATACAAATAAATTAAGAGCCATAAACCTGTATATAAAACTCTTTTTATTTTAGGTACACTAAATGCATACAAAGAATAAACAGGATTTTGATGCAATGTGCAAAAAAAGTCAGAACAGTCGCACAGCTTGATCAAACAGTATCATGTTATTTTATGTTTAAGATAGATATAGATAAATAAAAATATAAATATTTAGACATTTTTTTACATTGATCTTACCTAAATGGTAATGTAATTTTTTGTTTTGTTTTTTGTTTTAAGAGTTTATGTATGGAAGCTTGATTTCAATCTTTGAATTAAATTGAAAAAAAGTAGCACAAATAAATACAATAGAATAAAGACACAAATTAAGAGACCTTTTGGGGTAGTTTTTTTGCATGTCAGAAATACAGAAACTGAATAAAGTAATCCAATGTAAAATAACACTGGATAGTCTTTTTAGTCCAGACTGAATTAAATACAAAGGCTTTTAATTCTGATTGCTTACAATTAAAACTATATTCTGTTGTTATGACAACAGAATTAATGACTGACACAAATGGCTGCGTTCACTTTAAGAACTAGTGCGCGAATCCATACTGTTTCATTAACTTTCTGTCACACGCGTTTAATGCTAATTTAAGACATTACCGACTGTCTTTAGGAGGTTACTCACCAAGACCAGAGTTTTGACATAATGTCGCGTGTTTTAACTGTTAAAGTGATATAATCCAGGGACAAAACTTTTGTTTCTGGCGAGCTGTTTGTGAGGCAGATTTAGGTTGTACTGTGCACGCAGTGAAAGACATCTCTGAGAGTCCGCGAGCATGGGATGGTTTAACATTGCTTGTAAAACACAAAAAGACGTGAAAATGATAAACGTTAGTTACGATCATAGGTTACGATGCAATGCTGGCCCGATTGTTAAGTGAATATTCCGTCATGTCCCGACTCCTGAACGCGTGTGTGTATCGACAGCTGCAGCGCTTGCATAGTGCAGAGAGACGAGAAGATGCATCACCGCGTCCGCGAGCCCTTTATATGGAAAAAATCGATTCGTGGCCGTTGAGAATCGATTTTGAATCGAACACATTTTAAAAAACGATTAATCGAAAAATCTATTTTTTTGCCCAGCCCTACAAACAGATCTCATTCCATATTGACTACAATAGTATGTATTTTTTCCTACTATGGAAGTCAAGGGGGAATGAGATCTGTTTGATTAAAACATTCTTCCAAATATCTTCCTTTGTGTTCAGCAGAACAAATAAACACATAGAGGTTTTGAACAACATGAGGGTGAGTAAATACTGACAGAATTTTCATTTTTGGGTGAACTACCTATTACGCAAAATTCACTTTCACATGGTGTTTGAACATAAATGTGTGTGGACAACCGCCCTATAATGGTAAAAATCCAGCCACTCCTCATGTTTTTAATCCCTATAAATATAAGCAGTGTCTCAGATCAAGCCAATTGCAGATTCTAGCTTTTGTGATGTCACATATTAGCATAGACCTCGGCCTGAGTGTATGAGCTGTACTCAGTCTGCCATGTTTATCTCTTCGACTGAGCATTTAACCGCAGCATTCATGGAAGAAAAGTGTTCTTATTAAAGCAGCATTTGGCAACTTTTGCAATAAAGCAGCACTTGGCAATAAATCCATTTAGAAATCATTTGGATGTTTAAATAACCAGTTCTGGTCGAGAATGGCGACTTTCCCCATTCCCCCCAGCGTTCCCAGGTGGAAAACCAGCCTTGCGACATGAAGACTACTGTCCCGGTAAATTGGAAATAGGAAGTCTTGTGAGAAGCGAGAAACACAAACTGCTTTATGGCAATTCGAAACACACGCCCCTCATGCTCAATACTAGCTAAAAGAACACGCAATGATGGATAATGCTTCACAAGTTCCAGTCAGTGAAAAGAAAAAGGAGACAGTACTCGGCGGAGGAGGTGAGGGAGAGGAAGAAAGCTGTTGACCGAGCGAGGGACAGCACAAGAATAAATATTGGTTGTGCGTTTACGGAATGACGAGAGCTAAAGGACATTGAATCTCGCAAAACAGATGCTGATCTAGCGTTTCTGTGTCAGTAAATTTGTTTATAATTTGGTCGACTCTGTTATGATCTATAATTGTCCTTTAATAACATGTAAAACATTGATTGTCTGTACAATTATAAGATAAACTTCATAATAGTTCCTTTTGGGGGTAGATTAATCTATATCTAAGATAAGAATAAGCGGTAATGTTTGCTAGATTCATCCGCCCACCCCCTGTTACGGATTATGATAACAGAATACAAAATGTACATGTCAATGTTAAATGATACTGTGTTTGATGTATTACCCACCTTGGTAGACATAGCTCTACACGATAAAGTTGGGACACACTGGATCCGACAATAACAAAAGCACATGAGCGTGTCTACGGTAGAAAGGAGGAGGAGGGCACCGCAAGTGAATTTATGTCAGTGTTGTGAAATATTCGCACCACAGCTGTAGGGGGAGCTCGTTGAGAAAACATGCAACAAGAAAAATCAACGAATAAGTGGCTAGAATGGCCCTTTAAAGGTACCACAGTTAATTCAATCAAGAGCAGTGAGTGATTTTCTGTTTTTCATTTTTCATTTTAACATCATATATAGCAGTAGGTACTAGCCTGACTTCGTCATACTCATATTGTGGTCAGAATATGAGTCTGAGACCGCTCCGTAGGGTTTTGATTATGAGGCGTGTCTTAACCGAACCAGGAAAAAAAAAATTCTGCAGTCAATTGGATAGTCAGACAGACCTACAACCAATCAGAGCAACGCAGTAAGTCAACTCCTTTGCATAGCATAGTTGTCAACAACAGAACTTACTTATTTTAGAAGTAAAATAACGAGTGTTGCTTCTTTCACTTGGTCCTTCATGAGTGCGACCAAAGGAGAAACCACAACGACCACATGCTTTTCATTACGTCCCATCTTCTTAACTTAGCGACCGTCAGAGCCAGCTCTTTCAGTACCTAGTCTAGAGCGAGGACTTTTTTAGTTCCCTTTCCCGAGGTCTACGTTGATTGGTTAAACTTATAAGTCATGCCCACTGTCAACACGGAACTTGTAGAGTGCTGTCTGCCATACGCTGTGTGTTTTTGCAAAACATTACAACGAGGATTAAGAAAAACATAACGCATTCAACCAGCTGATTGCTAATAATAGCTAAACTTACCCGTCGTTTTGTTTGCCTCCTGCGCTCTGCTCTTTTATCTTCTTCCATCATATTACTTAATATCATATTATGCTGGAGCCTTCGTCTTCTGTGTTTCTCTGTACAGAACTCAAGCATAATCCTTAAACGGTGCCGTTTGTTCTCCGTTGGTCCCGGCAAGGCAGAACAGGAACATTGCAATAGTCGCGCTATGCGCTACGTCTAGTGATGACGCTATAAAGCCCGTCACCGTGCTTGCGTTACCCCTCCTACCAGTTCCTATAGCCACTTGGCCAGTGCGAACGCAAGCAGCAAAACCGAGTTTGGGGGAAAGTAGTTCTTAGAACTGTTTAGAAGTGGACAGTTCCTATAACTAAGTTCCTGTAACTACTTGGTCGGAAAGCGGCTTTTGTCTGACATCCAGCTTTCTGTGTGGGTGCTTTGGATGTGTGCGCTTAGAAAACCATGAATCAGGAGTTTGGACTGAAATGGCTTTAAAATGTATACAGATAATCACGTGAGTGGGACCGCGATAGAGATGATAATAAAAACCGAATAGATGGTTTTTTTGCAGAGTATCTGAGGCACGAGCTGTGTAGGCACGAAAACAACATGTTTTTCCTACCACTAAAAATTGTATTTTACAACATGGTTTAATAAATGATTTTGGAAATTTTGAGCTGAAATTTCACAGATACATTCTGGGGACACCAGAGACTTCTATCACATCTTGTAGTAGAAAAAAAGGGGGGGTATAATTAGGGTTGGGTATCGAGAATCGAGTATCGATTGGAACCGAGACTAACTTTTCGTTTTTCCCGGAATCGTTCAAAAGTTAAAATTTCGATTCCTAGTTTCGATATTCACAGTCCGCCGAGCGGAAGAAGAAACCGCTGAACAACACCAACGAAGAAGCGTCTACTAGAAGTCGCGATCCAAAGTGTGGCTTCACTTTTCTAAAAATAACTAAATCTCGGCAAAATGCAAAATTTGTGACAAAAGGAGTATTTTTACAGAAGGAGTATTTCCTTCATAAAGGATTATTTCCTTCAGAAAGAGCGTTGGTTAGCAAGGTTAGCTAAACTTTTTTGACCCTGCCTCTTAAAAGAATCGGAATCGAGAATCGTTAGGAACCGGAATTGAAACAAGGAATCGGAATCAGAATCGTTCAAATTCAAACGATACCCAACCCTAGGTATAATAGGTTCCCTTTAAATCGGGCCCACAATGTTGTGTCACAAGATGGCTAAAAAAAGGGGAAAGCGTATCTATTTTATTTCTATTTTGTCTTAATTTTGTAGAGAATAAGTAGCCTGGAAAAACCCAGACAACTTCTGGCAAATTAGATTTGCTCTGAAAGTTAGTCTGGCAAAGAGCTCATTCAACCCCATTTCCAATCCGTCGAAATCGCGGCAACAATCAGAAAAGTTGGGGCGGGCTTTACACGATGACGACAGTGCTGGGATTTTGAAGCAGATTTTGTAGCCTACATTACAAAGATGGATGCCGCCGTCAGCTATCGCATCTGTCTTATGCAATTTGAACGTTTCCTTTTTGTTAAAAACCTTCATCGCTCTGATTGGTATTAGGTCTATCCACGACGTCCGTTGGTGACGCCCCTCTGGAAATGATTTGTCTATGACGCTTTGCCAGACCGGAACTCAGTTATGAGAACTGAGAATGGTCTGGTTTTAACCAGGTTAGAGAATAAGTGTATTTTGATCAAATGTATTTTTTTAAAATAATAATTGGATATAGTGGAACATTAACATTCGGCCCACAGCCCTCAATCGAGTTTTATTTTAGTTTTTTCAAAATAATGTTTGGGCATTTATGTCTTAAATAAACAAATCATGTAAATATAACATAAAAATGAAAATCAGTGAGGGCACCTGCTTTAGTGCACTGAGGGTTTATTGTGTGACTCTCCCAAGATGTTCTGCTTTTAGTGTATACAGTTAAATGAGGTCTTTTAAAATATTAAATGACGCATTATTGAAGTGCTGCGTTTTGCACCCTTCAAGTGTTCTATTTTTCCACAGTACTTTTAGTTCACCATTAGATGAGTCTGAATTTTCAAATAGTGATGTATAAAAAAATGCATATATAATAAATTAAGCCTTAAGAAATTAATAATGGAATAGTTTGATGCGCTGTACCGGAAAATGTTTCCTGCTTTCATGTGGCTGAATTTGTATGGAATCTATTCCCATGCTCCCAAACTGGCTGAAATGAAAGCAGTGTCCAGGCGACCATGAAATGAAACTGGCTGCAGTTGCAGACCTCTTGCTACATGTCAACAATGGCACTGTCTGAAGCAAAATTTCATCACTACTGCAAGGGCAAGGGCAAACCACTTTACTCGGGTCCCTCTGGAACAATATTAAACATCCGTAGCTGCAACTGAAAAGACTAAAAACTTATTCGTACCTGCAGGACACATTGGGGCTGTAAGATATTTTGAAAATAAGTATTTGAATTCAGATTGGATCAGGTTATTGTCTTCAGATGATATTGTGTCGTCAGATGATATTGTGTTGCCTAATACATTTTTGCCTTTATTGTGATATAGGATAATATATAGTGGACAGGAAGCGAGGTGGGATAAAGAGGGGGGACGAGATCGGGAAATGTCCATGAGCCAGGATTTGAGCTCTGGTCTCCCGAAGCGCAACAGCGATATATGTCGGCGCTGATAATCTGGGCCAATTTAAAACTGTTATGAAAGAATTCATTTTTTATAATTTGCAGATTTTTGCTCTCTAATAAATAAAACCATAAGTGTGTTAAATTTCTTGTGCATCCATTCCAGACATATGTTTATGATCAGTTTGCTGAATTAGTTTGTGTTGTGAACACAGGCGCTGGGTATTGCAGCGGCTACAGAACGAGTGCTCTGGACAAGAACTGAAGGATCAAGCTGAACCCAGAGGAGACGCTGTTAGCAGGAGACGGTGTGAGCGACTGCAGAGAGCCTTGCAGGAGGAGATGAAGGTCTGTGCAGATGCAGCCGGCCGTTACCCCAGCAACTACAATGCCTGGTCCCATCGCATCTGGGTATTGAAAAACATGGCAAAAGGCAATCTGAAGGTAGGCCGTCTCCATCCACGTCCATATAATTCATCATAATGACTGAAAACGCATGTTTTTTAGATGCTGCTTTGTTTGCGTACGTCTCAAAGATTAGGTTTGTTTTGGATTACCTAAGGAATGATGGATCACACTGGCACATCATCTGTTGTGTTACAAGGAAGGCGACATGACATGGTTATTTATGAGGTTGATAAATCTACCTGAGCCTTTGATGATCTTGATACCTTTCTTCTCCACTTGAGTTAACTTAGAATCAGTTTTCTGTCTTTTTAGCTTTGTTTATTTTTTACAGAAAGAGCTGAGTAATGTTAATCAGGCCAGCTTAAGCCTTATTGGCTCTTATGGGGTCACTAAGTGCCAGACCTTTGATGTATACTTATTCTTAATTGGATACGAAATTAGGCAAATGTTATGGAGCTCAATCCCAGCAAAAGGCCCTGTTATAAAAAGGATGAGCCTGTAGATTTAATGATCCAGGACTAAACAGACTTGAACCAGTCTGAGCCTTTCATAGGCTATTTCAGGATAATTGGGTTATGCGGCTGTCATCTTACATTTCGGCATGTCTTGTTCGGTACTATTTTCCTTAGTCTGAATTTCCATCCTAGATCTCTGTAGTATGTTCTTTACTGAGTTTAATCTAAACTAAATCACGGTGAAATAACGTCTGTGCTTATTTTTGGATATTTAATTGTGCATGCTCGGGTCCTTTATTTTTAGATCACCCTTCCTGTTATCTAACACTCACTTAAAGCTAATCTTTATTAGCATAAAAGGTTTAACATCACTTTAATGTAACCTTTAGCTAGTCTCAAAATGAATATTCATTATGTCCTGTGCATAAATTCCCTTGTAGGATTTAAATTGATTGAATCAGTTTTAGTGGTCAATTTCTATTTGTTTTTTTCGACAAGATTGTATTTTATATCAGCCATTTATCAGTTATTTGTTGTAACTTAAATTAATTGGCTTGTTGCTGGACAGAAATGTAATATTACATACTCAATTTTTACAGTGTTACAGAAATGACACACTTTTGCCTTTTAGAATTTTTGCTCATTTTAACGATGTGCAGGAATTAATATGCATACTGTATTTTTGCATAACTTTTTCGAGGCTTTTGAATGAATTGATGGATATGTTGACCTCCATAGATCTTACAACTTATAGACTACGTGCCTGCGCACATATATTCAAATGCGCTTACCTATAGAGTAGACTAGGGGTGTGCAAAGCAGCCGGTATTTGTATCTGTATTTGTATTTGTTGAGGGGGGAAAAGTATTTGTATTTGAGTAAGGCCACGCCCCCTTGTCGGTTTCTGATGTGTCAACATGACATCATGACTTTTGCGTAAACATACACGCCACTTTCAAGTCAAGTGGCATGTTATCTATACGCATTTTGAGCTATCCGCGTGTGCGCGTGTATGTCTACGCAGTTAAAGGGCACCTATTATGGCATTTAAAATGTTCCTAATATTGTTCTGGGAGTCCCCAACAACAGTTTTACATGAATGCAATGACAAAAAACACTTTTGTTGTCTTATAATATGCATTTATTTTTACCTGATTTGCTCACCGACTTCCAAATGATTCGTACAACGACTCATTTTTCCAAACCACTCCTTTGCGTGACGCTAATCGGCGGTGATTGGTCAGATGACAAACCCAGTCAGTTATTGTTTGTTAGCCCAATGCATAAACATATTGATAAAGCACTGCAGTACTACAAGACGCTCTATTCTTTGACAACTCCAATTACAGCGACAAACATTTCACATATTTAAAAAAAAAATTACATTGGAGTCCTAGAAGCTGCGCTGAGCGTAACTTACACACACGCACACACATACTTATTGCGCCTTCCCTCCTCGCGCCCCGATGCTACAAAACCCATAAAAGCAACAATTATTAATAATAACAGATTACAGGCAACCTTACAGGTTGTGATTCGGAGAAGGAAGCTGATCCATATACACTGGGTACTGAGACCTCCTTCAGGAACAACCGGCTTGCGAATCAAATTGCGAATCAAACCGGCTTGTGATCAAATTTTTCAAAATATTTCCAAACTTGGGAGCCTATTTCAAACTTTGTGTTCTCAAGCCACCAAACACTGTTGTCGTGCAAGAGTGACCAGAAAAAAGTTTTCTGTTTTTAGTTAAAATGGTGTCGTGTTAGCGGCCCCTAAATTTAATAACTAATGATCGTTGCGAGTGTGACTGAAGTGAATCAATTAAAATAACTTTAGCTGGACCATAACTCTTTTCTAGAGCTGCTGTAAAGCCAAAACAATCTCTGTAACTTTAATTTCCTATTATCACTGTAAAGCTGCTTTGAAAAAATCTTCTTAAAAGCGCTATATAAATGAAGGTGACTTGACAACTTGGCAACTGAACAATAACGTACAATTCTTCTGTAACAACCTGAAGCATGATTACGTTAAATAAAGATGATACTCTCTGACTTTGTACACCAGGTTCTGCATGATGAGCTGTCCTCCACCCGACTCTGGGTGTCCGTGCACGTGTCAGATCACAGCGGCTTCCACTACCGTCAGCACCTGCTCAAAGCTCTGTCCAGAGAGCTGAGCCAGGCTGGAGAGAGGGACCTCCACCCCACCCAGCAGCCAAATGGAGAGAGCACGGCGGGAGCGTCTGATGACAACCACCGGAATGGCGTCATCCCTCAGCTCTTCCATCAGGAGATGGAGCTCTGCACTGATCTCATCGAGTCATACCCGGGCCACGAGACGCTGTGGTGCCACAGGTGAGAGTGATCAGACAAAGTGTTTGAAGCCAGTAACAGATCTCCAGTTCTTACTGCGCCGATAGTGGTCGCAGAGTCAGGCAACATCAGACTGTCACTGTGAATACAGTGACTTTGCTTGCCAGAAGTCTGTCCTTGGCCCTCAGCTGGTCTGGCCTGATGTGTTTATGGCTTACTGTTCTAAAATGATGGATGGTCTTTTGCTGCAGATTTGTAGCTCACAGAAGGAGAGGCAAGCGGTTTGCTAGATCTCTGTTTCTAGCTCTTTTACTTTTCCCCCTTCCCAGCCTCGTCCCTCGTGTCTGATGCAAGGAGCAGCTGCTCAGTGAATAGTGTTTAGCCTTCAGCTTGTGTTTTTCCTCTTAATATATTTCATTTACAGGTCTGCTGTTTGAAAAGGTGAGATTATAGTTTGTGAAACATTTCACACTTCTTAATGCTTAAACATTATGAAACATGAGGAATTAATAAAACAATAAAAGATTTTTCTAGTCGACTAGTAGTCGTTCATTTAGAGATTATTCGACTAATTGCACGTGTATATTAATAAGCCATATAAATTATAATTATGAGCCTTTAATTGCCTTTATATAATACATAGCCTAATCAGCGCTCAAGCACACACATGAAGCTTGCCACAGCGCACCGGCACAAGTAATGATTATGAATGTGTCGTGAAAAAAAAAAAAAAACTCTCTAAACATTTTATTAATTAATTGATAATGTTTTCTGTATTTTCGGACAATGCTGACTCATCATATCCACAGTAGTGGATGCGCCTGTATGCATGTTTCATACAAATTACATAATCTGAAGATATTTAAATTTGTTTACAATCGCTTGACATTTCGAGGTTTCTATAGATATATTTCTCACGTCTGTGAGGCAACGCTGAGTTTTGGTTTATTTTTTGACGTGCTCCAGTTCCAAGAGACCAAGAAGGCAGAAATCGCATCCTGTTTGTTTTTTTTTTTGTTTTTTTACAAAGGCACTGTTTTCTTGTTATTATGAGTTTACACAAATAAAACGTTTTTAAATGATGTTTCACTCTAATCTGTATGACCAAAATGACAGTATTTTAAGTTGTTTCTGCTTTTATCGGAAAAAAATCTAGTGATCGCGCCGGCGTAAGCGCGCTGTACTTTAGCTTCCACATTCTCACACAAACACTTGGATATATGCATACCTTCCTTCCTTCCTTCCTTAAAATGTCCCAAATATTGTGTGTTCCACAGAAGAAAAGAAAGTCATAGAATAGCACACGTTTATTTACGTTAATATTAGAGTGAACCAAGCAGCCAAGTTACTTGCATGTTTCAAATTACAGGCCTAAGCCAAATTTGAGGTCGATGGATGGAAAGGTGAACATTTGGATTTCCTGACCGACATACTGTAATTACCATAAGGAACCGCCGATAACGATTTGTCCCTCACGGACTACGTGATTTTTTTGCCACAAGTTTTTTTTTCTGCGACTAACCGACTAATAACAATTTTGGTCGAATACTGATTAGTTGAAAATTTGGGAGCAGCTCTAAAAAGCACTAATCATTAAAGTTGTCCATATATCACATGCACTAAATTACAAGTCTCGATGGCATGTGACACAATTTTATTTTGTTCTATTTTATAGATTTTTTTAAAAGTGAAAATAGTGGTAAAAAAAATCACACCATACTGTAGTTTTCTTGTTCCACAAGGAAGAGTAGTGGTTATCAGAACAGCCATTAAAAGGTTAGTTCATCCAAAACTGAAAATTAAGTCATTAATTTTAAGTCATAAGTAGTTAATGACTTAATTTTCATTTTTGGGTGAACTAACCCTTTAAGTGCAATAACTCATCAATGAGATATGAGTTGCCACAATGTTCATCTCTGTTGCACAAACTCTAATGTAGTCTGGGATGTATTTTCTTTTACTTGGATTGGATTACTTTGGATTTAATGATTTTTTTTTTGTGGTTTTTAAAGTTGAGGCCATGTCATCATTTCACATCAGACACAAAAGAAATGTTTTTTCCTCCTTTTTAAAAGTTGATAAGCCTATTTATATTGCTATTCTAACTTCAAGCATTGTATTTTCTGTGCGACAAGCCTGTGACCCACCAAAAGAGCAAAGAGTATTTTGTTGTATAGTAAATGGGTATGTGGTTTTTGAACAAACTCAAAACCAGGCTTCTCCAACAGGCGGCATGTCTTTTACCTGTGGCACCAGTGGCGGAGGGAGCACGTCCAGGGGGCAGGATCGCAGTCTCCACCTCTCACCCACACCGATGTCCTCCTCAGCGAGGAACCCTGTGACGACGGCAGCGCCTCCCAGGCCATGGACGTTGACTGTGTTCTGGATGGGAGCAAACATGGAAGCTACACGCAGGACACCAAGCGGCTAAAGCGGGGACCCCTGCTCCCCCACCCCGGACTCCCCTCCGAGCACTCGTTTGTCTCAAGAATCCTCACAGGCTGCAGGAGCCCCGAGCAAAGCAGCTTTGCCATTTCCTACAGAAAGTGGCTGGACTCTGTTATAGGTCAGTAGCGTGAGAAACACTCCGCCCACCACAGTGTGGGAGAGCTGCGATAGGTCAATGTATTTCTGGCTCCAGCCGCCCACTCCGATTCTCTAAAAAAACGACTGGACTCCTTGGCTGGTTTGGCAGAGATGCTCTGCCGGAGCAAATTCCCACTCATGATGAAAACCCATGACAGTGTAAGCATGGTCTGTTTCAGCTGCTTAAGTTCAGGTACTGGATATCTCAGGTCTGTTTTCAGAATCCTTTTTTTTTTTTATATATATATATATATAGTTTTGTTGGTCTTGCGTTGTTTAAAGTCTTCCACCACAAATCAATTACAGTATGCTCTCATCATCCTGTTTGCAGTTTTATGATTCCAGTCGGGAGTCTTAAAAACGCACACTGTGGTGCCGACTTGAAAAGAACACTAAGTGATTCTGACCCAGTTTCCCTCTTTTGTTTAATTGGGGGCAGACTGGCTCTGAATCCTGTCTACTGCTCGTCCCTGAGCTTTTTTTCACTGTAGCATGAACATTTCGGTCAATATCTTGACGTTATTATGCTACAATAAGTAATGTGAGCACAATCATTGAATTTAAAGATTCTTGGAGCCATTTGATATAAAATATTAGGGCTAAAGATGGACATTTTCATAAATCAATAAAAAAACAGAATTTATAGCTGCTGTCTTCATTCAGGGGATTTTGTATTATATGACATATCTATGGGTAGTTCATTGTGATGATTCTTGAATGTTAATTAATGCTCCTGAAGCACATCATCTTCACTCTTTAGAATAACAAAGGCCACATTGGACTAGTTTGAACATTTAAGCACAAGTTTTGGGTTCTAGTTCATCCAGCTGGTCTCGCAGATGCATGGGTTTTCATGATGAAAGGGAATTGCTAGTCTTTCTCAGCTTGACCCAAACGTGGCTGCCATGCCATGTTCAAGCCCGTTCGGTGCAGATTGGTGCTTATTCTCTGCACTGGGGAGAAGGGCCTGGGTTTACAAATGCTGCTTTTTGTTTAACACTATTTTGAACATAAAGGATATTTATGCAAATATGAAAAGTGAAATGTTGTGAGCTTCACTTACGTAATGATTTATTATGAAAGCTGATAAGCTATTTGACACTTATGGTTGACTCACTGTTACTCCGTAATTATTAAACTTGTAATAAACTTTGAAGTTTCACAGGCTCAGTCTTGCATTGACAACTTAATTCGTAATTCACAGCTTATTGTAGGTTGTGAAAATCTCAATAGACCAATATCTCAATATATTTATAATATATCGCTTTTAAATCAGGACAATGCCTTTTCCTATCATGTACAAAACTATTCTTGTTAGGCGATTCATTTTTAGCATTCTAGCAAAGCTTTTACAAATCCACGTTTTTCAGCATATCTATAAAAGACTTGTAGAGTTCGATCTTAAGTTTCACTTCATAAAAATCTATCCCTGTTCTTCTTCTTCTTCCTCTTCTTCTTTTTTCTGCACAGTTGCACAAGAGCTAGGATTCTGAAAGTATTTGAGTTATATCATTTCTAGACCGACTCTCCAGGACCATTTCAGAGTGGTTTTCTCTGTCCAGCATGTCTTGGACCCTGACACTTTTTTTTTTTTTTTTTTTTTTTGAGATTTTTGATCTGCAGCAGCAAAATTGCCAGATGTCTGTCACCTCAAGAATAAAACCAGCCTTTCCTCCACACCATTCCTCTGTATGACTACACAGACCGCTTTTGATCATGTATAGTACAGGTGTGGCACAGGTGCTTGTTTTAGATATTACGGTTTAGCATCACTTTCCCCCCCTTGTCTACATCTGCTGTTCAACAAACTCTATTTTACAGTGTTACTGTAGTAATAACTAAAAATTATGCATTATTACGTGCAAATGGTCCTAATGCTAACCCTATAGTAAGTACATGTAGTTCATTCATATTACTCAGTACTTAAATGTATAATGATGACAGTGTAACAAAGACTCCTTAAAATAGTGTAAGCTAAACTCCCAATAGTCAGTCTAAAACGAAAGGATCTGCATTTTATTTCAACCAATGCCATCATATTTGCTCTGTAAGATCTTTTGGTTACTTTGCTATAGGTTTGCACTTTATTGATCAAATTATTTGGTAATGCCATTATCTGAACCACCATAGTCATCGAGTCATGCTGATCTGTGGTTGTCTTTTTGCATGCACATTATGTGTGTACTGTTGTACTGGGATCACGTTGTTGTATTTGATTACATTTTTTTATTATAACTTTTACTTTGATTGCCCATACTTGCAGAGATGGAAAAGATTTTTGGCTCCCGCAGCAATTAGGATTTCGCTATTTGTAATAAGGCTATTAGTGATTTTTCGAATGTATTGCCTTCTATCTTAAACCCTTAATGGACAGTCTTACCGATTATATTGATGATAATAATATTTATGTCTTTATATCTGTTCAGGGCTTCCTACTTGACATGTTTCTCTTCAGGCAGTTTCAGAAATGGTCCTAAGTAACTAAAGTAAAGATGTGTGGGTTACATTGAGGTTGCACATAGCATTTCCAGTTGTGTTATATCAATTTCCATTGTTGTACAATATAATTTGCATAAACCTAGATCTTAAATTACTGGTACATATATGCAGACGCATCACAGAGTTCAGTTAGCTTTAGAAAGAAAAAAGTAGCATAAGGTTTTGTATTTTCTTTGTGTGTTGTCTGATAAGGTACTGTAGGTTTTTACAGCTACAATAACCAACATTTCTAGCATCTCATCCATTGTGTATTTTATATTTATTTGTATTAAAAAATGTATTGAACGTATTGAGTTGTTTTGTCAGTTGCCTACCACATTGAATAAAGCTACTCTGAAAAGGTCCATCAAACATTTTTATTTCCTATTGTTTTGAATTCATGAACATTTTAAGTTATTTTTTTCAAAATCATTTCTTGTGTTTAGGCGACTACACAGGGGATTTTGGAAATAAAGGGGGAAGCTGTCATGGGGTCTAAACAAATACCTTGCTTCTAGGACATACAAAAAGTTTGGGGTTGGATGTTTAAAAAAAACGTTTTTGAAAGAAAACTTAAATAAAGTAAAAACAGTAGGATAATATTGTGAAATAGTATTACCATTTAAAAGAACTGTTTTCTATTTGAATGTATTTTACAATGTAATTTATTCACTGTAAAAAAATATTTTATGATTTGTAATCACAACATTTTTTTCTTTTGTCAAATCAACTTAGATAATTTATATAGTTCAGATAACATAATATTTTAAGTTCATTATATTAACTCCTGGCTCCAGGCAACCAGGTTACTTATTTTTTTAAGTTAAACCAACAATATTTTTTTACAGTGTGTGGTGGTAAACTAAATTTTCAGCACACAATCCTTCAGAAATAATTTAAATATGCTGATTTGGCGGAAACATTTCTTATTAATATCAATGTTAATAACATGTGTTGCTTAATATATTTGTGTAAACCATAATATTTTCTTTCCCAGGATTTTTTGATGAAAAGAAAATAAAAAAACCTGTATACCAAATACTTTTGTTCTCTCTTTTTTTTTTTTGCTTTTAAGAAAAATAAAATAAATCATTGATTGGTTACCTCAAACTTTTGAACGGTATATTTTGTTTTAATTGACAGCAATGATAAGTAAAAAAAAAAAAAAAAAACCGTAGTGGCCAAATATAGACCTACTATATTAATGTTGCTTCCTGTTTTTATTCTCTTTCTTGAGTGGAAGGGCTGGACAGGCATGTTGTAATCAGTAACTGTTTAATTTCATACCATTGAAGGGGCTTTCATACCGATTTGGTTCTATAAGTTTTCAAACATGAGCTGTAGCTAAAGACTGCAGCATTACATGCCTCTTGCCCTGATGTTTAGTCGAGATTGGCAGATCGTTCATTGATAAATTAGGCAGTGTTTGATTAGCAGGTCTCTAGTGATGGGAGGAGTCGGGCTTGCCCACCACAGACTGAGTGAAAGGCAGGCAGGCAGGCAATGAAGATGGTGGATCCAGACACATAACGGGAGGACCGTTAGATCGCTGGAAACCACAGTCAACGGCACAGGTGAGAGACTCGACAATCATTTTGCGCGCTATGAATTAATCATTATTTATCGCGGAAGCTATAAAGTAAAACAATAACCATGAAAAAAAAATCTTTGTAGGCTACTTCATTGAGGTTCATTGCCTGTTGCGATGTCGCTTGCTGCTGATGACAGGTTCAACAGTGTTTGTTTACACTAGACTAGGATACACCCATTACCAAATCTACAATACAAAAGAGATGCGAGGACCTAAACTGTAAAGTTCTGTATAGTTTTTCAATACGAAATCGGTTATTGCATTGCAAACAATCTCATCTCCAATACCGGAAAGAACAATGTCTTCAATTCAGTTTCTAACTTGTGCTTGTGGGATCAACATCGATGCGCTTATGACTGAGTGCTGTTCGTTTTGATTCATCCCGGCGATGACTCGAATCTTGTAGTGAAAAAAACAGTCACCAAGAAGATACAGTATCATTACACCACTAGGTGGCAACAAGTGACCGTGCTATTTTAGTGAATCACTAATCATTCACTCATTAGTTTAAACATTTCGATTCAGTCGATTCAATTCAGAACAAAAGCTGTCTCCAGGCACAGGCAGCATATGAATTATTAAGGCAACAGTTCCCCACCAGTTAAGGCATAGCACAAGGCTGTTTGATCTCCTATTTACATCTGGAAACGTCTATTTGACATCTGACAGGAAACGTCCTATAGACGTCTTGCAGATGAGCAAACACTCTTTAAAATACGTCTTCCAGATGTAAATAGGACATCAGATACCCTTGTGCTATCTATGTCTAAATCCATATTGTGACACATCCTGTTATTGAGATACATTCATCTGATCATATTTGAAGGCCTGTACTCCCGGATTTGAGATAGCACAGGCATGTCTGTGCTGCAGATCTGCAGTGTAAATGTTAATAAACCCATTTGATAAATCAGTTTTGCGTACAATGTCTAAACCAAACACCTAAAGACATCTGGTAACACTTTATTTGAAGAGGTGTTCATAAGACTGTCATGACACTGTCATAAACATGACAGAACACCTGTCATGAACATGAAGGAGTCTTTATGAATGTTTATGACTGTTGTCATTAAGTCATTCGGTAAATTATGACACTTTTAATGCAAAGTTGACATTGTTTACAATGTCTTTGTTATGAAAACTTGACATTAACCAAGAAATCATAACTAGTCCAACGTGTTCCACTTTACTAGCGGTAAGGGGAAATATTAATGACTCTGTTGTAAAAGCATTTGACAATGTAATAACTCTTAATGACATCTTTATAACTAGTACAATGTGTTCCACTTTACTTGAGGAAAATTAAAATATTCGTCACAGTTATAATGGTGTCATTACGGCCAAAGTTAAAACCAACCATAACTATATGACAGGGTAATGTAGGCCCAATGTTAACGGAAAGCAAAATAACTTCTTTAATTAACGTTAGACCTGTTATGGCTTATTTGTGACAGGTTGACAGATTTCTTGGTTAATGCAAGTTGTCATGTGAAAGACATTTTTGTCACAGTTGACGTATGATTTCGATTTCGGCACATGAATTAAAATAGCCTACTGATAATTCCATAAAAATATAGGAACGTGCTTTTTGATTTAAATGATCAAAACAGATCAAAAACACCAGTTTACGAACGGCACACCACTAGGATGTTTGTGTAGGAGTGTGAAAATGATTCAGCCTCACTCATGCCGGACACAGATTTCACGTGTAATCTCCGTTACAGACGTTAAAGTGCCACAACTGATGACTCACTATAGGCTCTCTCTCTCTCTCTCTCTCTCTCTCTCTCTCTCTCTCTCTCTCTCTCTCTCTCTCTCTCTCTCTCTCTCTCTCTCTCTCTCTCTCTCTCTCGCGCTCTCTCTCGCGCTCTCTCTCTCGCGCTCTCTCTCGCTGTGATTGTAAACGCACTCCCTTATCTCTGTTGTCCACAGAGGTTCAGCGTTTTTGCAAAATAGTGCTCTGCTGTTGGATGGCGTCCTCGGAATACGCTTGCGCTGTAGGCATTACCAACCTGCTTTCCTGCCAAATACATGCCCTAGATGCAGACTCACTGCGCGGCGTCGGATGCTGTGCAGGTGGGAGAGCCAAACACTCGTGTGAAAACTGACTGAAAGGGCGAAATGACAAGGACAGAGCTTGCACAGGCTTGATAAAGAAAACCCTCCGTTAGTCGTGGCTGCACATGTTCCAGTTATGTGTTACATCCATCCAATAGCCTACTAACCATCTCCATCCATCCGCAATATCACACCTTTACTCTCTCCGAGTGAAGCTGATGCTGCTGCTGCTGCTGCTGTTTATGCAGGTAGGGATGCGAAAACGTGTAGTTTACGCATTGCATTGATGTTTTGATTGGTAGGGAGTATTTTTTTTAATTAAGCTTTTTAAATGATTGAGTCTTATGAGTTGTGACAGATTACTTTTAATACCTTTAATTGAAAAAAAAAAAAAAAACTGTCGTGGTTTATGTCGCAGTACGCTGCTTTTAAGGACGTCAGTGAGCATGGAGTATAGGTAACAGTGTAATGACCCGCCCTTTACAAACATAATAGCGAATTGTGTATAAAGTCAATAAGTGTTGCTCAGTGACAAAGGGGAATGTGTGTAAATGCTTCGTTTTGAAGGGAGCTGTGGATATGGGAGTGTTCTCAGAAGACTCTTAAAGCCCTCTCACGTATCAAGCCATGACAGAGCAAATAACAGCAATAACACCAGACTCAGAGGATCTGACATCTGTGTTTTTCTCAGCTGTAAACCATTGTTGTTGTGTGATATAACATTGATTATGTGACAACTGCGTGATTATGTTCTGGACATTAAAATTAGCTGAGCACTGCTCTCTTGGGGTATTTACACTTGCACAAAAAGTACTTATGAACGTTTCTTTGTACATGCGTTGCTATCATGTTTATTGGTTTCATGTTTTTTTTTTTTAAATAAGTACCTTAAAGTATCATAAATATCACAGCATATCAAAGTACTGTGGCACTGCTATCATTTTTGGAGAAGTACCACAATTCTTCAAAATTCACCCAGAACCTTATGTAAATTTTTCAAGGCACACCTGAAGAAAAATGTGCTTTTCATTTCTCCCGTTGTATGATTGCTGAAACATACAATATTGCTGTATTATATATATATATAATTGATGGAGCAAATATAATGAAAATAAATCATACAAATGGTTTGTTTTGTTTAAAATCTTATAAATATGAGATGACAAGGTTACCCCCCACAAATGGTAAAAGGCTCTCCAGCATTGGGCAAAATACACATTATTTATACAAATATGAAATAGATTAGGTAAAATAATGTTTTTAATGTCAAAAGTAAAGTTAATCATTTTGATAATCACTTTAGCAAAGTTTTTTTCTTTTTATTTTGATAAATAAAAGAATTCATTTTTCAATATATTGTCATAAAAATTTAAATTTTTAAAAATACAAATATATATATATATATATATATATATATATATATATTTGAAAGATTCTGAAAGCATTGAATGAGATCCCATAATAATTGAATATGGATATACCGTAGTAACAATCTATTTTATTATATGTATTGATTAATATATTTTGAAATATGATGGTTCCCTTATAAATATGGTGATTATCTCTAAAGTGGACACCCAACTTAAAATCTGAATCTAAGCATGTTAGGTCGACAAATGGAAAAGTCAGCCAGTTATTTATTATTATCATGTTAATTATTGTGCCTTTCGCCCCGACTGGCACCTTTTACCCCAAATAGGCTATACCGTTTTACATATTTTTCTGGTATTGAAAAACCGTTGCAATTTCCTTGAGCAAAACCTGAAAATCGTTCAAAATATATTCAATTATAATAATAATCTAATTTGCTTCTTAAATCTAATGCTACAACATGGTAAAAACATCAAATATTAGATCAAATTAGCACAGAAAACACTTTGCACTGCTGATCGTGTCAAGGATCAGGCAAATTTCCATGTGTATTTTGAAAAGTGGATGTTTTGGAAAGTTTTTTTGCCATCTAGTGGTTTAGAGGAAAATAAAATCGAAGGTGCCTTTTACCCCGGTGCGCCTTTAGCCCCGTTGTATCTTACTTATGATATTTTTAATACCTGTCATATCTACCGGGTATCTACAGAATTGTTCCTGCTCTAAAAGTAGCTCATGTACTGATCATTGATGCTTTATACAAACAGATTTTGAAAGCAGAGTCACGGTCAACAACATAAATTTCAGTCTGAAGACAATAGTGTCAATATTCAGCTCAATATAGTTCAGTGTTGTTTTAATTACATTTCAGTAACAGTGTCAATGTTTGCAAAAATTCATCAATTATCAAACAAATTTCATTTAGAAACAACAAAGCAGATCTACAGAGGGCAGTACGGCACTAGTCAGATTTAGTGTTAAAGGAGTAGTTCACTTTTTAAAAAGCTTTTGCTGATAATTTACTCACCCCAATGTCATCCAAGATATCCATGTCATTCTTTCTTCAATCGAAAAGAAATTAAGTTTTTTTATGAAAACATTCCAGGATTTTTCTCCATATAATGCACTCACTTTACTGGTAACCAAATGGTTCAAGGTCCAAAAGACCGTTTTATTAAGGGCAAAAAGATTTATTTTGATGAACGAGTTCGAACAGGAGAGTCACAAACACGCATCACAGAGGAAGGCGACCGTTTGAGCTTATAAAACTTAAACTTTGTTAATTGTTTTTTTTTTTTTTTTTTTTTTTTAAATGAGCGATCGTTTCGCTTGATAAGGCCCTTATTCATCGTCTGGAATCGTTTAAAGCCTATTGAACAGTTTGCACTGAAACTGTCTTTTGGACCTTGAACCGTTTGGTTCCCATTGAAGTCCATTATATGGTGAAAAATCCTGGAATGTTTTCATCAAAAACCTTAATTTCTTTTCGGCTGAAGAAAGAAAGACATGGACATCTTGGATGACATGGGGGTGAAGTTTTTTTTTTTTTGTTGTTTT